TGTTTTGGGTGATTTTTGAAATATTCATAAAAAATACTTTTTGGACTTTAAAACACAAAATATTCACTTGGCAGCATGTTTTAGGACCTAATCTTGCATTTTAAGGCATTTCGGGGACTTTTTATTTTTTTGGATTTTTTCACGATGGTAAGGCTATAGTAAGGCGTGTTTTGGGTGTTTTTTGAAATATTCATAAAAAATACTTTTTGGAGTTTAAAACACAAAATAATCACTTGGCAGCATGTTTTAGGACCTAATCTTGCATTTTAGTGCATTTCGGGGACTTTTTATTTTTTTGGATTTTTTCACGATGGTAAGGCTATAGTAAGGCGCGTTTTGGGTGATTTTTTAAATATTCATAAAAAATACTTTTTGGACTTTAAAACACAAAATATTCACTTGGCAGCATGTTTTAGGACCTAATCTTGCATTTTAGTGCATTTCGGGGACTTTTTATTTTTTTGGATTTTTTCACGATGGTAAGGCTATAGTAAGGCGCGTTTTGGGTGATTTTTTAAATATTCATAAAAAATACTTTTTGGAGTTTAAAACACAAAATAATCACATGGGAGCATGTTTTAGGACCTAATCTTGCATTTTAGTGCATTTCGGGGACTTTTTATTTTTTTGGATTTTTTCACGATGGTAAGGCTATAGTAAGGCGTGTTTTGGGTGTTTTTTGAAATATTCATAAAAAATACTTTTTGGAGTTTAAAACACAAAATAATCACTTGGCAGCATGTTTTAGGACCTAATCTTGCATTTTAGTGCATTTCGGGGACTTTTTATTTTTTGAGATTTTTTCACGATGGTAAGGCTATAGTAAGGCGTGTTTTGGGTGGTTTTTGAAATATTCATATAAAATACTTTAAACAAGTTTTAAACACAAAATATTCATTTTGTTTTTATATTTTTAGAGACTATATATATACATATACATATATAGTCTCTCATATTTAAAACAATAAATCAATTTCTTCAAAAATGGCCTAGAACCCACGCAGCCACGAGTTCCTCTGATTCCGTCAGTTCACACTGTGGTGATGAAGTTAAGGCAGTGCTGCCTGTGTCAGTGTCACTGAGGTGAGGAGGGGGAGGAGGGGAAGGGAAGGGGGCAAGACACTGAGGGAGGGGAGCACAAGGAAGAATGAAGGGAAATATCACAATAGAGGAGAATGAAAGAGGAGAAGTGAGGAGTGACGACACCGAGGGCAGGATGAAAGTGAAGGACAAAGTCGAGACTGTAATAAAGAACGAACAGCAGCGTCAGATAAAAGGCTGATGTCGGAGCGTCACGGAGAAAATGACTGAGACTGAAGCAAAGACGGAGGTCACGCAGACGGAAACAAAGGAGGAATAGATGATGACTTCATGAGTTGTTTACTGAGTTACAGAACATTGAGTCGTCTCAGGTCGTTGGAGTGACTGGAGGGGGTGCAAACTCAGAGCAGCGCTGAGCAGCACCAATAGAATGACCGAATTATCCAGATTTTGATACAACCGTTAGTGACTCCTCACTGCATGTCCTGGTGTTGACGTTGGGTTTCGTTACATGTTTGTTATTTTTACACTGACTGTCGCTAGAGGGCACTGGTGCGACTTATACTCAGGTGTGACTTACAGGTGCGACTTATACTCCGGTGCGACTTACGTGTTGACGTTGGGTTTCGTTACATGTTTGTTATTTTTACACTGACTGTCGCTAGAGGGCACTGGTGCGACTTATACTCAGGTGTGACTTACAGTCCTAAGAATACATTACAAAAATACATTCATCTGTGCCTGTATATATATACATATATACACATATATAACATGTATATATGTATGTATATATGTATATATGTATGTGTATATATATATATATGTATAACACTCTCCACCTCATACTTCTCATCCCTAACGGTTCAGTATGAACTTTTGTCATACTTCTCATCCCTAACGGTTCAGTTTAAATTCTTTCTAGAGTACGACTCCAACATTATTTGATTGACGGTGCAGTCATTTCGTAGTAAAAATAGTTGAAGGTTAACTGTTGTGATTTCACCGTGGAGCTGACGGAGCCGACGGAGGAGAAGGCGTTTCTGTCAGCGCTCTGTGATTTTCATTAACCTCGTCCTGACCCACTTTGGTTCTAGCTGTGAGGCTCCTGACCAGTGGAGTTGGTATGAACCGCAGAGACAACAATGATCTGACATACGGACGCTGCTGCACGTCCATGGAGGACGGGAGGAGCAGCACCGACCGACCGCTCGCTCACTCCCGCCCCTAGAGGCCCTGCAGGGTAACACAGGCATAGGACAGTAGGACATCCCCTAAATTTGATAAAACCTTATCTCGTCAGTCGATGTGAGTGAACGTGAGGGTGATTTAATCCACGTGAATGGCTAAGATGCTACGCTAACGCAAACAACAAGGAATATAAGAATAAAAACGAGGGACAGAGTCCTGTCTGTCTGTTGTCTGACTGTTCTGTCTGTTGTTGTCTGACTGTTCTGTCTGTTGTTGTCCTGTCTGTTTTTGTCTGTTGTTGTCCTTGTCCTCCGTACGGTGGAGACAGGTCCACACTAATCACTGTCTTCCGCCAGAGAAGCTTTGGTTGAAACCATTAACATCCGGAACTTTCCACAAGGACGATGAAGGATTAACCTGTCACTGGAGGCTCATGTGTCTCTTTACTAAATTAAATGTGTGTGTGTGTGTGTGTGTGTGTGTGTGTGTGTGTGTGATTTCTCCTGATTTCACTCATTCCTCGGCCTCGTGTCCGTTTCTTTGAACGGCAGTCGTCGTAACTTTATCCTGAGAGCTGAGAAATCTGGTGATAACGTAGGGATCAGGTTACAGCCGAGGGAGTAACAACAATTATCTGAAAAAGCTTTAATTCGTTCCGACATCAGATGTAACGAAATACTGTAGCATCGATTCACTTTTCCAGGTCTAACGTTTCACCGAGTGTCGGCATGAACTGGAGTTCTTACGCTGTTTTTGCTTACGTTGCATCTTGGGTAATGGTTCAACTGGGACGTAGTTTTTTAGAATAAAGATCGTATTAAAGGTTGACTGTGTTCATTAATCTGTGAAATTAATCAGATTAAATGTTAATTAACCCTTGATTCATTAATTATGAAAGTGTTTTATAAATCAGACTTCGTTCTAACTTGGTCTAAAGATGAAGAACAAAGAAAAGTCTGAATTTATTATCAAATATTTCTCTCTAAAGGTTGAATTTCCAAATTTTAACCCTGCGTTTGTTTCATCGAACACTTTATTTCATGAGTCACTGCTTTAATACGTCACCAGTTTTAAATGGATTTAAAGTCGATCCAGTTGTTATTTCTGGTTTTAGGCCATGATTTTATTTTTGTTTATTTCTAATCCTAATCAACTTTTAATTATTTAGAATTTCCCCAAAAGGGAACGCCCAAGGCATCAATAAAGTTCTTTCCGTCTTTGTAATAAAAAAATACTTCATTAATATGTAAATCTCTGTTTGTTTGTCTGTTTTGGCTCCTGGGGTCAGAAATATTACTGTTGTGGATGAATAAACATGTGGGAGGAGGCCCG